CATTCAAAATATCTAAGCTGCAATTACTTATACACTTTATTGAACTTCTTATTCTAAGGGGATTACTTGAGATTGAAAGTGTCTCTTTAGCAGCCAAGACTGCTGAAACTTTGCAAATAGTTATAAATAATTCATACCCATGGAAATAACAAGATTTCTGAAGAATAATATCTTTAAGAAGACACATATGAAGAAGATGCTAATAAAGGTTTCTCCTGTTACAGCTCCTGGCAATTGTAGCACTACCTTCAGCACTTCAATCCCTCAGGAATGTATTTGCGAGCTAAATAAAGACTAAATTTTATCATAGCAGTATATAATTTATCTACTATCCAAGTCACATCATTATATTACATTGTGTATTATTTAAGTCAAGGGTCAATGAACTTTTTCTATGAAGAGCTAGAGAGTAAAGAATGTTATTTAGGTCCTTGTATAACAAGAAGGAAATCAATTTTAAGATAATTTTATTGATAAAATTAAAAATATAATAATAATTGAGTATAAATTTTTGCCATACAGGTCTACTAATGAGAAGAATGAACAACTAAAATTTGAATTTCATATAATCGTTTCATGCCACAAAGAATTCTTCATTTAATTTTTTTCAAACATTTCAAAATGCAGTAAATCAACTATACCCCAATAAAAATTAATTTGAAAAAATTTGAAAAAACTGTAAGAACCATTCTTAGCTCACAGGCTGCTACACAAAACAGGCAGTAGGCTAGATCTGACCCATGGGCCATATTTTACCAACCTCTGAACTAAATATTACATTATCTTACAAGTGACATTATATAATTCTATTAATTTGTTTTCACGGAAAAGGTAAATTAAATCAATCTTGATATAGAGATTGGCTTCCATAAAGGAATTGTTTACATATGATACAAATTCTGAAATTAATTTTAGAAGACATAAAAATGTTTTTTACTTAGGTTAAGCACTAGGTATCACGTGGAAGTCCTGTGTTCGATTCCTTGTTGGCTATGAGCTGTGTTAACTCCATAGCTGGAGGCTGCCCTTATCAGAAAAGATTTGGGATGCATACTATCAGGAAAGGGGAGAATGCACCACATTGATAAAAACAAATCAGTATTGCTGTTAGAAAAGTGAGTCAAAGTTCAGGCTCACCTTTATATCCAGAGGTCAGCTACTTTTGTATTGCAACTCGTAATTGTATTTTAACAGTACTTTACTGTTTATACTAGTAATTTTTTGCTATGGAGAAGAATTTGGGTGGGGAGGAGGAGGAAAAGAAGAAAGTTTCTAGAGAGAGGTACAAGGCTGAATTTGAACAATTTGAGAATCTGTCCAGTAGCACTTAGGTGGCATCCCAGAGCCCACAAGAACGATCATCTACTCAAGTCATTACCTTCATCTTTTGTTAATTTTAACATATTCTTTAGTGCTTCTTTCAGGGTAGATATCAGATACAGCCTTTATTCCAATTATGGAAAAGAAAGCACACAGCAAGAAATTAACTTCTAATTATGTCATTCATAAGCTACTTGTTAAGCATTAAATATTCTCAGTATACCTGAAGCCAGAGAGCTTCCATCACATGATCTGCAAGAGTAAAAATAAAAGCAAAACTCTTAGCTGACTTACACCTTTTCTTCTTTTACAGTGTCCACCCCTCCCCCAACAACGTCTTAATGCTCAGAAGGAAACTGTGGGTTCATAAGAGCAATTTAAAAATAAAGGGACTTCCCTGGTGGCGCAGTGGTTAAGACTCCACGCTTCCAAGGCAGGGGGCCCAGATTCGAGCCCTGGTCAGGGAACTAGATCCCACATGCATGCCGCAGCTAAGAGTTCACATGCCACAACTAAGGAGCCCATAAGCCAACACTAAGGAGCCCACCGGCCGCAACTAAGCCCCAGCACAACCAAAATAAATAAATAAATGGAAATAAATATTTTTTTAATAATCAAAAAAAATAAAGAGATGACTCCCTTTTCAGTGCATGTATCTTACTAGCAAGTGAAGAAACCAACAACAGCCTGTGCAGCTTATCAAAGAGCAAGCCCTACTAGGAGGATCTGTCTCTAAACTTTCACAGAAGGAACCCTTCAATATAATAACACCTTGACCAGAACAAGGAGGAAAGACCTGGGGCTGGTTCAATGCTTTTGAAATGTCAGGTAGGGTGCTAATAGCCAAAGAATGTGGTCCATTCAACGTTTTTCATCTTTAGTCAGAAGAGGAGTCAGCAGTCACCAAAGATGTGTAAGCACACGCATCTAGTGGTTTATGCATCTTTATATAAATATATACATATGTTCACACACACACACACACATAGATACACATGAACATGTATGTGTGTGTGTGTTTGCACAGAAACCTTCCAATGTAAACTTACCCTGTTGATTAATTAGATCAACTAACATTCAAATTAAAGTGTACCTAATCCCTGAGCTGTCCCTGGTGTATAGAGTCCTGTCCCTGGTGTATAGAGTCCTGTCCCGTGAAAGCTTTCATACTGGCGGCCTTGGGCAGTCTTGGGCCGACTCAGTGGATAGCAGATTTGCTCCTGGTGAATCAGCTGTAAATAGATAGAGGGAAAATGTCTTTGTATTCATCTCAGAGACTGACCTTTAATTTCCTTTATTTTTATTCAGTTCTCCCTGACTTTAATATTGGTGTTCAAGACTGATTCATGTTTTAATATAAAGTCTTGTCCAAAAGAATTACTGGAGCTATTATAATACTTTAAAAACACTTATGGTGGTTGATGGTCACTTGTCACTACACTGAATTACAACCTTGCTGGTAAACATATAGACTTGTTCCTCCAAAAGAGATACAACACATGGAGTACCATGACTTGGTAATAAGTACCTTGTTTTCTTCCCCACCCCCACAAAATACTAATGAAATAAAACTTGGGAAATGAATTTTTTTGTTTTATATCTACTGCTGCAAATCACACTGTCAATGTGATAGTAACAAGAATTACTAAATGCACCTTTAATTATCTGAAGTCATTTAACTGCATATATGACACTTTAAGAACAGTCAACTCTTAAAACATATGGTAACCATGGTAACCAAGTCGGCTTTAATATTTAAATGTTCCTAATAATTTAAAATGCTATAGGTTCTTTAAGTTAATCAAATGTTTAAAAGAGCATTAAACTACTTCCTGAAGAATAAACCAAGGCTAAAAGAATATAGAATCAGGATTGAAATTTTAAGTGTCAGGAGAGGCCCAGCCAGAGCTAAGCACCCACTAATATTCTGCTCTCCTGAGATCTTCTCAGCAGCTCATCTTTCCTTTGAAGAAGATATATTACAAAGAAGCTATTGAATGTCGATCTGCCTTTTACTGGACTTCAAGAAAATAAACAAATGTAAACAACTAATAGCCCAGTCAGTCACACCAATCAATTATAAACTCAAACAGTCAGCATATTGGAAAGACAAGACTGCCTCTAGGCCAGACTTAAGCTCTGCTTTCCTTAAGGGAAGGATGCTTCAAATGATGTGCTTTACATTGTAAGAGTGACCTCTAGCGCTTCCTTTTTTGCTGAACTTCGGTAGTTGGACGATGAATTACTTATGCGTTTTCTACAAAACTTTCTGTGTGTTGGGGGGGGCGGGGGGGGGAATGTCTGTGTGGTTATTGTTTGTTTGTTGTAATGTTGGTCAAATGCTACTATTACAGCATTCCAAGATTTTGATTAGGTGAAAATATGCACATTTTATTGACTCATGGGATTCTTACACCCCCAAATTAAAACAGAAGCTAAAACACAGTGCAGCATCAGAGTGAAGTTCTCTTGTTTCAGAGTGATAGATATACCACACCATTAAATGAGCTAATACTGAATGGAAGGATGCAATCACAGTGGCCATTCAATGTAAATGAGCATTTGGCTGGTGCCAGTAAGGTCATTTATAATGTTCTTCCCACATCAGAGTGCTTTAGCACGCTCAAGGGATGTGCCATAGCAAACGCCTGGTTACTGGCTTATTTGTGTCCCCCAAACCTAAACCTGCTTGAACTGTAATGACATAAATTCCTGATCAGGCCTCATAACCCTTTCTTGAAAAGCAGATGAGCTTTTCCTTTAAAGTCCAAGAAAGAGAGAAAAAGTTGTATTTGCTGAGCTTGTTGATCATTCATCAGGGAGGGGGAAATTCTCCCGTTTAGAGATTTTAGGCCAAATGTAACTTTTAAAACTTCTCCTTATCTCTAATAAAAAGTGGATGAAGGGACCTCTGTCAAATTAATTTGGATGATACTTAAATTAGAAATAAGGTCTTAATAAATCTTCCCTGGGACCATTAACTCAGAATCAGAATATTCAATCACAAATTTATAAAGTTAAAAATTCAAGAATAATACTTTTGAAAAAAGCACCTGAATGTATTTCTTTAAGCAAGATGTAGGAATCAAGCCGCCGTGTTCAAGTCTCATTCTGGTGGCAGTGAGGGTACAATTCCTAATACTGAGGTTCACCTCTACCAATTCTGCCCCTGAATTCTGCAGTACGTTTCAGTTATTATCCTGGCATCATTTAAAAGATGCAGTCAGCTATCAGTCTGCCAAATTGCAAACTTCAGAAGTCTAAGCTAATGTAGCATAATATAAAGTCTGCCAGTTGTTTTCCTGTTAGACATAATCCCAATAAAATTCAGTAAACCTAAAAAAGGGAAGAAACGAAGACATTCACAGGCTATTCCGTGATTAAGATGACGATTTAATGTTTTACTAGAACTTGAGTGTTCTCAATGAATACACAAAGACAAGAGGACAAGATTCTGCTCGTAGACAAACAGAGAAACGATACTTTGCATATTGTGACCAGACCAAGAGGAAAGACATGTGTAAACCCAGTCGTATTTGCAAGATTTTAAGTGATGCTTCATTTATAGCAATGTGCTTTGCATCAGTTCCAGCTGCAAATAATAATCATAAAAAAACAACAGAATTAAAGTTTTGCAGAGAGGCCCCCTTCAAGTTCTAAATCATTCGCTGTATACTTACAGGAATTTCCAGCTAAAACCCTGTTCCAATTTGGAGTAGATAACAGAAGTAGCGTCTTGAGAACAGCTCCGGTGACAGGCCTCATGTTCACATTCATTGGGCTCCCCCAAAAGATCTTGAGTGGCTCTCCGAGGGCTCCAGTCCCGCTCTCAGTCTGTCTCCCAGCTCTGTCTGGATTTTCAGCACCTCTGGGTCTCTTGGTCTCTCTACCTCCTCCTCTTCCTTCTCTCTCTCTCTCTCTCTCTCTCTCTCTCTCTCTCTCTCTCTCACACACACACACACACACACAAACACACACACCACAGCCCTGACTGCTCACTGAAAAGCGCTCAGCATCTTTCCCAACGAGCATCCACACTGCCGAGGCCACGCCCACTCCTCGCAGCCGTGGTCCCAGAAATTGGCAGCAGCAGCGTCCCTCCTCCAAATTCACAGCAGCGCTCAGAGCTCCGCCGGGCGCCGAGCTGCTGATGAAAGCTGGGCTTGGAGGCGAGGCCTGCCGCTCCTGGGCCTCCTCGGGGCTCCCTCCCCTCTCCTCTATTCTTCAATAATCCTTAACCCTTTTCTCCCCTCTGGAGATGTCCGTGGGGAGAGGGGCGAGGCGGTGGAGCCTCCTGATTTTCTGCAGGTCTTGCCTTCAGCAGAGCCAGTCAACATGCTGAGCTAATTCCTGATTATCCGGGAGTGCATCCAGGTAAAATTGTGTTTTGTTTCAAAACAAAAGCATAAAATGAGACAGAAATAACTAAGCAGCATTGGTAAATGGTAGCTAAAACTGTCCTTGGGGAAAATACTTGCTGTTGTTTTTCTCTGTTTATATAAAATTATCCTCTTCAGCTATGGTGCCAGGATTTTATTATGGAAATGCCTCACAAGGAAACAGACATTCCTGTTTGGCAGATATTTAAAATCATCTAGTAATAGTCTGCAAGAAATTAACATTTCTTATTTTAGTGCATCAGGAGTACAAATCCACAAACTGAATGCTTTGGATAGATCTATTTTGATGAATGCTTCAGGCTGTGAATACACAGTAGCATTCTACAATCAAATTCTTTAATAATAATTCCCAGAAGGCCCAAAAATAAAAATGATGGGATACTGAAGAAAGGGAACCCCCCCCAAAACACACACACACACACACACACACACACACACACACACACACACTCACACCAAACCTCCTAAACAATATAAAGATGTAATTCAAATGGCCTAAAGGAGAGTGGAGTAAAGTTGAATTCAGAAGATCGCCAGCTACAGAAAAATTACTCTTCAAATGGCTGATCCATGGATATTGCCAGTTCTTGAATAGAATATTAAAGTATTTAAATAATGGAGCTAGTATCACATAATGATAAGTGTATAACATGGTGTCATAGAAGGATAAATAAGCTCTTCAAAATAAATGTCAAGATATTTAACTTAGAATGTGCTAAATTTTATAACAATAGGAACACTGAGGTTCTCAAGCACTTCTTGGTGATAACAAGTAAGAAGAAACATAAGCATTCAGCAGCAGCAACCTTGCTATAGAATGAATGAAATAAGGGGGAAATGACAGAAGCATTCACCATAAGAGCTAGCTCTTGCCTACGAACAAAGCAGAGTAGATATTTTTAATTTCCCTATTTTGCAGATGAGAAAACAAGAACAGGGAATTTAAATGATTTGAGGAGATCACAGTTAGTAAATAAAGCACTGAGGATTGAACTTTGTTTTTCTGACCCCAGTTTTACTGCTCTCGCCCTAGGACTTGCTGACCTTCACATAAGAGTACAGCTCCTTCCTGACCTCTGTAAAAGGCAGTGAAAACCTGAAGCCCTTAAAAAAAAAAAAAAAAAAAAGCAGAGGAAAAGAAAGGTCATTGTCCGAGTGTTTACTCTGTATTTCTAGGCCTATATCCCTGATTTTGTCATTTTCAAACATAACATGTTAAGCAAAAGCAGATATAAATTGACAATTTCTGTTAAGTAATTATTGAAGGGGATTAAATATTGTTGAACACATATTATATGCCGCTTGTTATCTACTTAAATTATTATAGCAATCTTTGAGGGAAATATCATTGTGCCCATTTAACAGACAAATAGATTGAGCCTCAGCAAAGTTAAGCAGTATGTCCAAAGTGCCACGGTGAGTAGGCTTGGTATTCTGGTCTGCAAAGCTCTGAAAGTATCTCCTTCAATGACTCCACACAGAGGGAACGGGTCTCAGGCTCTCCAGAAGAGAAAAGTTTTCTTTTTCTCTTTTTTAAAATTCTCTTCTTTTCTCCAGAAGAGAAAAAAGTTGTCTTCCTTTTAAAACTTTATACTTAAAATTGTTCCCATAAAATAAATTAGAGAATGCATTTTAAAAGGATCAGTACACATATCAAAAATGAAAAATAATTGAACCTTTCCTGGCAATAATAACTTCTTTAGGACAAAGTGTAAATTTTCATAGCAACCGTTAAAGATGGATTTTTCCATATCAATGGGCTATGGTAACAGAATGAGTTGGAGGCTGGCACTGAATAAAATACCTGAGTATTTCAAGCCATTGCACCGCCAGACCCTGCCTGATGGCCACAGAGGAGAGAGAGCCACATGGACCACATGACGCAGTGGAGAGAGTTTAGACATTATAAACAGAGAAGCCCAGATATGAATTCAGCTTTCACTGTGGCTCTGATTAAATGACTCATTTACTCTGGTCTTCGATTTCCTTTTCTTAAAAAGTAAGAGAATAATGACTAAAGAGCCATTGTGATATAACGTGTGACAACCCCCCACTGAGTGCCTAACACTTAGTGGGTCCGCAGTTACTCACTGGCCTTAGATATCTGCATTCTGACTGTACAGAGTAGTGGTTTGAGCGGGCAGTGTTGGAGTCTGGTAGCCCAGGTTCAAGGTCTGCTCCAGAGCCACCTCCAACCAGCCTGCCCTTGAGCAAGCTGCATATCATCCCTGATTCTTAGTTTTCTCATCTGTGAACCAAGGACAGGTAGAGTATCACCCTCATGGCTAAGATAATGCTTGTAAAGTGAAAGCCCCTGAGAGTTAGACAATCAATGTTGTTCTTGTAATCACTGTATTATTACAGCTCACTTTGCACAGATGAGAAATCTGAGGAGGACAGGAATTACGGACTTGCCCGAGGGACATGACTCATTGGTGGCAGAAAAGGGATGGTCACCAAGACCTACTGACTTGTGCTTCTTTTCTTCCTCTCTACCATTAAGAGTGGTGCTTAATGTCAGGGAGGAAAAAAAAAAAAAGAGTCTGAATGGGAAAAATCAGAGAAGTGTAGAGACCTAATTTTGCACATTACTGTACTGCTGATTCAGACGTCACAAATCATTTCTCCCTGTGTATGCATTTGTGGTTTTATTTTCCACCGATTAAGATAAAAAACAACTGCTGGTGCTTCAGTTTTGGCGTATGCATATTATGGGCTAGACCCTGCCTGAGAAAGCATTATAAATCAAACCAAAATGTTCCAATTTGTAAAATAAGGCTTTCAATTTCCTCTTGGTACAACTTGCCAGAGAACTGTATGACTCACCACAGTGTGCACAGAGGCTCCTGGACTGTCCTTTGGATTGGAAAAGGATCATCGGGTCATAGTGGAACAAAGCCACATCGAAAGACTAGAAAGAGATTAAGATGCAACTCCTTTGTTTCTCTTATTCATGCAAATTGTGTTATCTGGTGCCTGAACCTCTTAACTGGTTTCTGGATTTCTTACAAAGGCAATTGGTTTGTAGATGTCTCCCTAGGGGAAGAAGAGGCTGGGCTTCCTATTTTGCAATTTTGTTGATGTTGCTACTCAAAATTTATTCTTTTTGTGATTTATAAGAAATATATATTTGGTCATCTGAATGACCAAATATATTTTTCTTATATATATGCTTGGTCTTCCTCCACAGTTCCTGGCTCAGGACCTCCCCAAACCTTGGAATCTCCTAAGTGTAGACAGTGGTAAAGGTGTCCTGTGATATGTGAATAGGTGACTTTTAGAAGCACCTAATGATGGGGGCTGGTTGCCAGGAGAACCAATCATGTGGTTAGAGGACTGGAACTTTCAGTCCCACCCCCTGACCTCCAGGGAGAGAAGAGGGCTAGAAGTTGAATCAATCATGCCTATGTAATTAAAGCTTCCATAAACATTCAAAAGGACAGGATTCTGAGAGCTCCTAGGTTTGTGAACACATGGTGATGCCGGGACAGTGGTGCACCTAGAGGCGGCAAGGAAGCTCCATGCCCGTCCCCATACCTTGCTCTAATGCATCTCTTCCTTCTGATTGTTCCTGAGTTATATCCTTTTATAATAAACCATTGACCTAGTAAGTAAAATGTTTCTCTGAGTTCTGGGATCCACTCTAGCAAATTAATTGAACCTTCCTTGGGGACCTTGAACCCTTCACGGGAACCTCTGATTTATAGCTGGCCAGTCAGAAGCACTGGTGAAAAACCTGGACTCGTGACTGGAGTCTGCAGTGGGGACAGGATGACAGTCTTGTAGGCTGAACAGGCCTTAACCTGTGGAATCTGATGCAATCTCTGGATACTCTGCTAGTGTCTGAGAATTGCTTACTGGTGTGGGGGACCCCATACACATTGAAATTGGTCTCAGAAACCTATTTATGAGGTAAGAACATTCTTGCCAAAAGTCCCTTCCCAAATATATTTATATTGGATATAAACAATGTTTTCTTTGCCCTAACAGTCAACATATAAGAATATTCATTGTTGTCACTGTTGGGATTGAAACTTTATCAAGTTAATATTTTATTAATGGCATTTACTTTTATTTTGTATTACATTTTCAGTTAAGGGACTTGACATTCTGTAACATAAATGCACTTTTCACAAGCGATCTTTATATTGCCCTAAGTGTTACTATTTTGTTTTCCCTTTTAATCAGTATGTTACAAATAGGGTAAGTGATGACTTCCATAATAACACACATATTGAGTTTTGCAAGTTTGCAAACACCCAAAGCTCTAGCGGGTGCACTTTTCCTATTAACATCTCACTTGACACAACCCTTACCTAATAAAGACAATTTGCAAATAAAGATACAAATTATAGGCAACACTGGCTACTCTCTTCAGAAGATTATACTGGGTTGGCAAAAAAGTGCCTTCGGTTTTTAAGTAAAAATAAAAGACACATTTTTCATTTTCACCAAGAACTTAATTGAGCAGCATATTCACCATTTTGTTCCACTATCTTCTGCCATTTTTCAGGCAACTTTGTAATTCCATCTTCCCAAAACTTTTTATCTTTTTGAGCAAAGAACTGTTCCAGGTACCTTTTACAGTCTTCCAGATAATAGAAATTTTCTCCATTAAGGGAATTTTGTAAA